ACTCTTGATATATATAAGAAATAAAAATATAAGGGATTTACTTACTTAGATATTTGTGTATATACGATTTTTTATTTTTTTTATTTTAAAATAATAGATCTTTTAAAATAAATTGATTTGATTTAATTGTTGAATTAAATAAGAAATAATAAGGAAGAAAGATATAAAAAAGAAGTTATTTATCAATTTAGAATTTCTACAGTATATAATTTGTTACAATTTGTCTTATATTATAGATCTTAATGTGAAATTTTTGTTAACCTGAATAAGATTGAAGATGAATTCTAGACTTTACTAGAATTACATAAAAGTTCAACCATTTTATATCCTAACCAACCAAAGTATCATGACTACTTTAAGTATATAATAATAAAATTATTAATTTTCTATGTGGTTCTTCAAATCTCATTTCTATTATTTTAACTTAATAATTAAATATATATATATATATATATATATATATATTAAGTATTTTTTACGTATATATATATATATATATATATATTTTTTTTTTCTAACATAAAATATTTTAGCCAAAATTTTATTTGCATATAATAAAGTATATATCCTCAACAAAGAAAAATATTGCAAACCAACATAAGTAGTACTCCAAAAAGTTTGTTTCAAGATATAATATATTTTACAAAGGCCTAGAGAGATGAGGTCTAAAAATATTCCTCAAATTATTCCAAGTCAATCATGATACATCAAAAATCTTAAATTTTTTCTAGAGTCATTTTTTTATGTGAGACTTTTGAAAAAAGTGATTATTTTGTACAATATTATTTTTGAGATAATAAAAATATATTATATATAAAAATATAAAAAAATATTTTAGAAATTTTGCTACAAAAAGAGATGCTTATGCTTTGGATGAACTGTAATTTTTACTTTGGTGCAACATCTTTGATATGACTTTGGTTCAAACAAAAAAGATCAAATACACCCTTCTATTCAAATAACCTATAAAAATTATATTCGTATAGAAATTCAAAATATTCAATCATCAATCTATAAGTTATTTTTAATCATTTAAAAGACTCTCCAATTTATCCTCCATTTCTACACTTTTGACATTTTAAAATAATATAAAACACTACAAGCTAATCATACTTGTAGCACCAACTACTCAAATTCTTTGTACCTCAATTTTTATACCCAACCATTATTTTACTTCTTTACTAAATATATAATTTTAAAAAATAAATTTTTTCTATTATTATCTTCAATTCATGAACCACATATTTTTAACAATAGTGAAAAATCATTAAAAAATATTTTCTCAATGAAATAAAATAAACATATAGGTTGTGAAACTAGATGTTATACAGAAGACATAGAGTTTAAAACAAAGAATTTTAGCTCCTTTAATACAATTGAATAAACATTCAATTCAAAACTAAATTCCAATCAAATATACTTTCAACATGAACAACTGAAGACAAAAGGTGGCTTCACCGGCTTCACAAGAGCCAAAGTTCTAACACATGGATCAGTCCCTTTCAATCAAGCACGAGAGACTTCCAAGTCAAGAAGCTTCGAATCGAAGCTTGAAATCCTGGAGTGCCCCGAAGCTTGGAGGGGCTTCGGATGACCACCAAAACTAACGCGACCTCGTGTCCCTCTCTCTCCATGTCGGATGCGATCGGTTGTGTGACGTAGGCGAAGGAGGACGGCAGCGCGTGGTAGAGTAAATTGGAAGCTCCTTTCCAAATTCGGAGCTAGATCTAGATGCAAGAGTGAGAGAAAAAGTAGAGAGATAAAGCAAGAGCAGTTTGGAAAGATGCAGTTCGATCTGCTGAAGGCAATTATCTTGGTGTCGTTAAGCCGCTGGAAGCAGAGATTATGCCTCTCGAATCAAATAGTGGCATTAATTTCAAGTGCAATCACATGGATGCGGTGGCAACAAATCCAGCATCGATCACAGACAATTCTCCGCGCCAGCAGCGCACTGGCTTGGGCTCACCACCTCTTGTTTCCATTTGGCAGAATTGCGGGACCGTGAAATGAAGTTGGTAACTGAGACAGAGTGTAGGTTATGAAGAGCAGTAAATTTCTCAGTTCAACTAACTGGTAAGTTGCTGGAAGAGTATTGTAACAGCAACAGTTCGCAAGCATCGGTTATGGACAGCCACTGAGAGCAACAGCCCATTCATCTTCACGTGGTAGTGACGACGAGCTGGCCGAGGTCTAGTGAACCAACAGAGAAGCTGTAGGCTTACAAATTAGAATCGAGAGTGTATCAGAATTTCTCATATTCGGAGCTTAGTGCCTTTCCAATGCGGGGAATTAGGATTTGCGCAATCCAACGTCGGTCGCAGAAATATGGACAGAATTTTGCTTTGTAGCGGCCGCGACCGACCTCCTTGTGTAATTTGAAATTTGAATACAAGATTTGAGTTGGGTCGGAGGTGGAACTCAGTCATTTCGGCTTCGGTTTAGGCAGTGGGGGTGTAGTGCATGGGCAGAGAATGAAGCCTGGAATTCGTTCAATCTTGTCGTGAGAACTGGAAGGTCGATGTGAAGTGCTGAACCTGCTCAGTTCCTTGATAAGTTATTACTGGATGTGAGATTGAATTGCAGACGGAAGAGCAAATAACGCGAAAGACTCCTCTGGACGAAACGATCTAGATTGGTTTGGTGATGAGCGTCTGTAGGAGTAGTTTCTCTAGGACGACGAAAGTGATTGTTGGTGAGTGAAGTTCGAACACTGAGTAGCTCTCTGGGATGCGGCGAGTGTCTGGCCGCCCCTATTGCGTCTTGCAGAGAAGGTCCTCTTTGTGTATTCACATTGGATTTTGTAACTTTCGTTGATTGTGTTCGAACACCGTCTCCTCCCGATACCGATTTTTGGGTACTCTACAGCAGAAGGAGATGTATCTCACTCGTTTAATTGTTTTTCTATGTTGAACTATGACATGTTATCATATGTTTGCAGGTTTCATTCAATCTGGTCGGCGAAGCCAAGGACTATAGTATTTGTCAAATAGGTATGCCGCTGCTTTCTTCAGCCTTGCTAAGCGCATCGTAAAAGTACCGTTTGAAATCCAGTTCTCGGATCAGGACGTGCTTGTTTTTAGTATTCTGTATCATTGGAAACCTGCTCGTTGCTGGTTGTGGATCTAACTTGTAGATGCTGGCTAGAGACGGTTGATTTCAGGGGATTCGAAATCCTACTCGATCAGTTATTATGGTGACTTTCATCGAAAACTGTTCCTCTTGAGATTATTGGCACCATACTGTTCGATATGTGTCACTAAAACAGTGATTGTGGTCAAGTGTTGAATCTCTCAGAATTTCTTCGCTGTTTTAACTTTGTGGAGATGGCATGAGTGGCATTGCTTATTTTTAGGGTAAAGATATCATTAACGAATGTATCGTCGTTTAGATTAGGAGGATCGATTGTTGCTTGACTCCGTAGTCGTGGATTCAGATAATGAAGTGAAGCGGAAATTGGAGGGCGTGCCGTGATTTGGACTGTGAGGGCATTGTTGTTCCATTGCGGGTTTGCTTCAGTTCCTGTGAAGATGGCAGAGGTTACAGGCTCTGGAACGCCTAGTTGGATTGATAACAACTCATGGTTGTTCAGCATCTCAGATACGGGAGAAAGCACGAATCTGTCCCCTGAACATGTTTCCAGTTTGAAGAGTGTATTTCTTGAGATCAATTGTTCCACTGATCCGATTGCAACTCTCGAAGTCATCAACTCAATGCTTGCGAAAGCAACTGTTATTCCAGGCGAAGGAAACGAGATGGAACTGACTATATTTTGTAACTTACTTAAATCTATTGTAGATAGGGTATTGAACTGCGAAGAAGTGGTCCTAGCTTGGAGTGATAAAGAGGACGTTCAGGCCTACATGTTTGAAACTTTGTGTAGAGTGGTGGAGTTGACAGTGGTATTACTGACGAAACACATTTCGTCCGACTGGAAGGCTCAGGCTATGAAAACTCGCTACCTTCTAGACATCTTGGAAGCGCTGTGCGTTGTTTTGAAAGATAATTACTATCTTACACTGCGGAAGGAAAAGGGCATTACGAGAAGCGTACTGCTTCACCCAGCTAGACGCGAGTCTGCTTTGCAAGTTCCAGGGTGCTTTGTCCGTGTTTGTGGAGCTGACATTACCGAACCGCCTTTCTACTATTGCTCTAAAGAAGGCGTGAATCAGATCGGTAGGGAATGTGCAGAAGGTTGTTGCGATTCACAGGCGACATATGATGCTCTGTTGGTTCAGCTTAGTTGCTTAATGGGAACAACAGAATACGGCAACGGATATAAGCATATCATGGAGATGCTAACTCATCCTGAAGATTATCCCCTTCGTCTGTTAGAAGCCTTGTTCGAGGTTCTTGCTACGCTGACATTGGTACCTGTCAGAGAAAAACAGTTCTGCACGGAGGATGTTATAGGCCGCAAAATTGTACTAGGCATAGAAGAAAGCGCATTTGACACGCTGTGCCAAAGGATGTATCATTATCTGAAAGGGTCGATTGATAATCTAGTAGGTGATCAAATTGACGTCGAATATATCCTTGATTCTTTGACTTCAATGGTTCATGCCTTGCACAGAATAAGCTTCTTGGGGAATAGGAGTACTACCTTTGATTGCGCTGGCCGGTTGCAAATAGCTGTGTGGGGTGCGTATCTGAAGAATAATATACATTGGAATGCCTGCGTATCTATTGGGAAAGCTATAGAGTGCACCTTTCCTGAAGCTTGGTAAGGTTCTGGTAATACTCCTTTTTGACATGCATATGCATGAAATGGCTGCTACAGTATCTCGTTTACAAGAGTGAATGCTAAATGTCGTGCTCCTGCTTTTTTCTTTTTTTTCAGTGATACTTTACTCTCGCCTACAGACTTCTCACTCTGGCTCGAGGATGAGAACATCATCTTCAACATCATTTCATTCGATTATGACTTGGATTATGTTCCAGAGGTGATATTCCACCGAACCCCGGATTTCTGAGTGTTTCTAAACATTCTCATTAATGTTGTGTGCTTGAGCTAGTTGAAAATCTGTAGGAGTAACGACCTCGCAGATAACGAGTAATTCGTTTGATGCAAACGCAGGATGTGTTCTTCTTGTCTTGATTTATTTTGTATTGTGAATTCAATCGAGTACACTTGATTGTGTGCAAACTGTTAGGTGATAGAGTTTGTGCGGAAGATCAGCAGAAAAGGGATACTGCAGCACGCACACTTAATGCCTATGCTTGAGGATGACAACTCAGGAATGAAACCTGGAGAAGAGCGCCATACGTCTCCTCATGACTTAGTAAGTTCACGACAGGATTCAATTGTCAAGTGATGAAACAAACTTGATCCCACTCTTGAAAGGGAACATTAGGCAGCTGTTGGGATAGTTGAGCATTTTCGCCCAGGCACTTTTTTATAAATCTGAGCCCAGCATCTCCTTCGAATTCAGATCGTTGCAAGCGTGATGGATTTTCTTCAGCCAAATGAAATTTCGACTGAAGTTTTGATAGAGTCTATTGAATGGTTGGAGCGCACTAAGGTACTTGCGGTCACAAATTAATGTGTGGTTTTTCACTTCTCTCTAGTCCATATTACATATAACTCTTTTGTGCTAGAATAAATTCCGCATGGTCCTTAGGAGATTTGACGAGGATTCGACTTAAAACTACATGAGTACTTTGGAACAGGGTCCATCTGATTACTTGGAAGAGCAGGTTCCCGCATCAAGAATCATATCCATTCTGGAGAAATTTTCTGGCTTGGATGAAGACGGGACCCTAAAAGAAAGGTTACTCCAGCTCACTCAGCTTACTGTGCTCATTTATTTTCATCGAGTTCTGATACATCTATTTAAGTAGTGGTTCATGATTGGCGAGGTTTCGAAGTGGTCGACTATATTCTTAAGAACATTGACATGTTCAGCTCAATTTTTTGCGTGCAAACTTCAATGCAGGCTTCGAAGTATATGTAGGTAGCTACATAATCAGAATCCTCGGAACACTGAATATTTCAGTTATCTTTTACTAGACCGGTATTCGAAATTTAATCTCATGTAGTGTTGATTCATGTGGCAGGATCTTCAATATATTCTGGAAGCATACAGGCCATGCTCCTCCTGCTGATTGTGCAAATCGCATAACGCGAATTGCGGCATGTTACGAGCCGGTGCTTGTAAGTATTCACTCTGGTTTTGTACCTCTCATTTCAGAACATTTCCAAGCAAGCCTCATTGCTTGGCTTTGTATGATAAATCTGGAGTGGGAGGATTTTATAGCATCAACTGCTGCACGACAAGTGTAGTAGCATGGAAAATATGATGTGTAGCTTGGAAAGCTATCGTGCCTGAAGCGTGACCATTATTTTCCGTACAAAGAATCACATGTCGCTGCTCAAATATTTGTTTGAACAAGAGCTGTGTCGGTGTGGTTAAGCATTCAAATTCCGATGTTCAATAGTATCGTCCCTTCTTCATGTTGTTCTTGATTACCCCAATTAAAAGTTGATGTAGCATTCTTGATGGGAGTTTTATGATTTTGCAGGAATTTGATTCTCTAACGTTGGACTCTATTGTAAAAGGAGAGGAAGATCTCCTGCAGGCTTGTTCTAATGCGGACGCTGACACAAAATTTGTCAACTACTTGACGAGTGCAAACAGTCTGAGTACTGCATATGTGGGTTCTCACTTAACGAGCTCTACACGTCAGAACTCACGAATGTTATGGAAACGGTTTTGTGGCAGGATCAGAGTTAACAACCCCTAACTCTATGAATGTCTATTGATTTTTTTTGGAGGAAGCATGTCCTCATCAAGTGTTTTTTCGTCAACATTATGTAGGCCGAAAGAGCCAAGGTGTGGAGTGATAAGGAATTTGACTTTCACATGAATTCGTTGCCCAGACTGGAGCAATTACTGACATTCGACATCTCGTTCTCTCGCCGTGAGATTACAAGTGAGTGTTTGAATCGCCTGAATTTGGCTCAGCATCTTGTAGCCAGCCTGCAGTCTCCATCGCAGTAAGAATGACCTTTCTATTTCTAGATGTATAAAACAGTGTAGTGAAGGTTAATCTGAACCAAGATTCCCAAATAGACACACACTTCTGTGGACTTTCAGGTGTTCAAGCATGGGGATCTTTAATGTTCCAATGTTATTGCATCTTGAAAAATGTGAATTAAATCAATTAGTTTCATGTATGCGGTACTTGTTATGAATGAGAGAAGTTGGAATCTGATGGCACTGGGATTCGATACCTTCTTCAGGAGTAAGTTGGCATCTTCAATGGCAATGGCGATGTCGCCAGAAATTCAGACACTAAAAGTCCTAGAAATGGAGACTAAGAATTTTCTCAAAATCCACAAGAAGATTCAAGCGTTGAATGCAAAGCAGTTTAGGGAATATGAAGCACTGAAGGCGGAGCAACATGAGAGACTTATAGAGGTCAGTGACAGATTTTCCTGCATAAAGAAACCCTTTCTTTTCGGTAGCTTCCTATGCCTTCTGTACTAAGTACAGTGTCCTTGTTTGAATAGTCCCATTTAAGCTTTGTATTGACATTGACAATGTCTGTTTTGAGCAAGTAGTTCTTTCAAAACTGCAAGAGTGAGAAGCAAACTGTCGTGAGGGAGGCACTGTGCGCCAAGGCTAGAGTAGTAGCGTGCAAAAACAGAGCCCAATTGGATGCAAGTATGAAGATGTCATCAGATGCTGTACTGGCAAGGATGCTGCAGAAAGCTGAGGACGTTGTTCGTAAGGTAAGAGCAATCCTTCAAATTGTTCCTTTCCCTCTGAATTGTAAATCTTGATTCATATAGTCCTCACAGGTTTGCAGGTGATTCAGATGGAGGAGAAAAATGGGATGTTGGACAAGGAGCTGCAGAAGTTGAAACTGGAGAAGGAGGAAGCCATCATAGAGGTGCGTGTGACGTTGGAATCTGTTGCTGCAATTATTTTCCTTCTGCTGGAGTGGAATGATCGAGATTTTAATCATCGACTTGTACAACATGACTTTCCTTTGTCAATCCCGTCTGTTGATGCATTGAGGAACTCACACTAGATTCTACCGCATACTTACCCTCGCTTACCACCGGTATCTCAGGATAGTGGTGTTGAATCAATATTTCACAGTATAAAATAGCTCATGATCAGAAGCATATGGTATTATGCTATTATCCAGTGTTATCAAGTACATTCTTGTTAACATTCCGCAACATTGTAGGTGGAGGAAAAGTATCAGCAAATGTTGAAGGACAAGGAGCCTAAAACATCATGTGCTATATGTTACGGGCGATTCACCACATTAACTTCGCATCATCTTAACCGGGCATGCTTCAATCCTTGCGGCCACGCCAGTGTTTGCCATTCTTGTGCAGGTCGACTGCAACGTTCCACAGCTAGATGTCCAATTTGCCAGGCTGTAGTATCGAATGTATCTGTTGTTCCCTCCGCAATTTTCTTCTGATAATTTGTACGGTTTCAATTGGCCTCATTGTGACTGCTTACATACACTTTGTATAGAGGGGGTTGAGGACTTAGTCGAAATTGTCTTAATCTACACAAATTTCAAATTTTGTCTGCATCTAATCCAACCTCCATATCATTCACTTTTCTTGTCTAATAGAGCACTTTCTGATGATAACATGTTATAACTTCTGTTTTCTTGTGGCTTTTAATCATGTGACAAGGTTGGGAGGAAAATTAAGCATTGTTGGTATTCAACTTAAATAGCATGAATAAAAACTACACAGGGAAACGGCAAAATAAAATATCAGTTCCATGTTTCAAATGCACGTCATTTAAATTTCAAAAAATAAGTTTTTGCATAAAAATAAAGAAGTATATTCTAGTTGTTATTTCTAAAAAATGAATGCTTTTTTCAGCGACATTTTAAAAAATTTGAGGGGCATTTTGCATCAAAAATAGACTAATTTCAAGTCACTTAATTTTACTCTTACCATGTGACATTAAATCACGATCACTAATTAGTTTCAAAATAATAATGTGGAAAGGAATGATACAAACGTATGAAATTCTGCACTGCTATAATTGATTTCTTCCAGGTGAATCAGACGCAAAGTTCATAGCAACAGCCATATAAGATTATAAAATCAAAATGTGATACTAAAAAGATGTGCACTTGGAACGTGATATGAAAAGGCATACCACAAGTGCATTTATGATGGTTTGGTTACTTTTTCGATTTTTATAGGAAAAAAGTTAGCAAGTCCCCTATTCTATGTTGGCTTTATTATAATATAACAATATAAGGTGGAAAATAGCTTTATTGATTAATGTAGTTATTATTTAAATTTTTTTGTATATTGAATTTAGTATAAATATTTACAAAAAAATTATAATTCAATTTGATAAATTTTATTAAATTATAATATATAGTTCATTTTTTTTAATCCAAGTCACCTTTAGATAATTTATTATAATATCTTCTATAGATTAGCATAATTTTTAAATAAGTTCTATTAATTTAATATATATATATATATATATATATATATATATATATATATATCTAGTATGTAAATTAAATTATTTCAATGTTCTTGAATTTTTAAAAACATCCACTAATTAATAGAGACTATGAGATATTTATGTCTATAATAAAAATTTTAGTATTTATTAATTAGTAAATACTAATTACAAATAAAATATTGGTCATTGTGCATTTCTTGGCCTTGTTTGTTACAATTGTAAAATTAATAAATGCTTGTTTTCAGTCTTATCATATTATAGAAAAAACTCAAAATTTTATAAGATTATTTTGAATACTTTTAAAATATAAAAGAATAACTAATTATTAATTCTATTTTAAAGTTTTTATTTACATACATTTACAATGTCTCTTTTTAAATAAGTTAGATTAATAATGATTATTTTTTGTTTTTGTCTATTAAGCTAGTGATGGACATCAAGCTACTCTTTTTACATAATTTATACATGAGAAATATATGAATTATGTTAAATATGCTATATTTGAAATAAAATGTGATATATTAGTCAAATTTTCTATTCATAAATTACTTCCATCACATCTTATAGCTTCTACAAAATGAAGTTATAAGAAAGCACCTTTAGCTAAAATGCATAAGATAAGATCAATATGGAAATCCAAAAAAGTACTTTAAGATGCCAAAGGATATATTATCAAAGAAATAGAAGGATAAATTTATATCATGTGAAGAGATTGAAAGAAATTATAATATTATTTAATTTCTTTAATTTTATTATAATTTACTTAAGATAATACAAAAAAAACCATCTTGTTTGTTTGTAAAAGATATTTTGGATCCTTAAAGACAACCATGTAATGTTAGGTGGCATGATAAACCACCTTATATTATGGTCAAGATAGTTGTAGAGCCAAAGAGTGCATTTCTTATATTTGTTAACTTTGTGAAATCATGTGCATTTTGAGAAGATAAAGCATGTATTATTTCAGACACAATTAATATAGAATATATAATTATAAGATGTAATTGATGAGCTTAAAGTACATGAGTGGAAATATACTATGGAATTTCTTACTTGCATTACATAATTGTTTGATCATTTTTTTCTAAGTATTAAAAAAATATGTTAATTGAATAAGCAATGGTTTTAAATTTTTTGACATGGATAATAGCTATTGATTTAATAGAGCAAAAATAGATTATGTATAATTTTTAAAATTTATGCCATCATTATTATAAATATAGCTTATAATATAAATTCTATTTTTATCTCAGAAAAAATATTGAAGTAGCTAAAAATAAAAATAAAAAAAACATCAATTATAACATCTTTTAAAATTATAGGATCTAAAAAAACTACTTCAAGAGCACTTTTTAATCATCTTCAAAAAAATCATGAGATCCTTGAGTATGTAGATAATTTATTTGTTACTAAGAATGCCAAAGCAATAAATAGAATAAAATTCTTATTGAAGAAAAGAGAGTTGTTGAATATATTTAGTATAAAAAATAAAAAATAAAAAAAACTTTGTGTCTAATGGAATTATATTGCAAATAAGAAAAGTGCCATCTACTTCAAAAGAAGACAAATTATTATAAGCAAAAGAGATGTAGGAACCAAATATGGCACTTTGAAGGGGAAGTGAAAAGAGAAAAAAAGAAAGAAAAAAAAATAACTTTTTTTTTAAGGTAATTAAGGATTGTATTGCTTTTGGATTAAAAGACTCAAAAGTTCTCAAGAGATAAAAAGTGCGGATTGATTTTGTACATGATGTTTCTATTTTTTGCAAATATTATAAATATAATGAATTAAAGAAGGAGTTAATAAAAACTTAAATTAAAGAACTTTTAGATGTCAAATTAGAAAAAAAATTTACTAAAAAATATACATAAGCTATGGTAATATATTTTTAAAATAACATCTTTTAAAATTAGATAGAAAAGTAGATGTGTGGAAATTATAGGCTTATTAATTTTAAAAAAAATTAGATAGATATGCAATGTCTTCTCTTAAAGAAATATTTGAAACGATTGGATACACCAAAGTCTTAAGTACTTTAGATTTTAAATCTAGATATTAATAACTACTAAAATTTTTTAAAAAATAAAGACAAGATAAAGAAATATTTTGAAGAATTAATAAATTTAGAAAGTATAGATTATATCAATAGAAATTTCTATTATTTATATTAAAAAATATAAAAATTATAATAATAGAGGTTTATACTATTTGGATTAATTGAATGCACCTATTAAGTTCCAAAGGGTGATAGAATGCTTGCAAGGTTGGTTTTTTTGAGATATTATATAGATAATATTTTTTTCTTCACTAATAATAAAAAAGAACATAAAAAATATCTTAAAATGGTATTAGAGCACTTGATTAAGCATAGATCCAAATTGCATCCAAATGAGTACATTTTTTTTATTTATATGTAAAATACATGAAGCATATGATTTATTATTATAAGCATATATATTTACTTAGATAAAAAACAATAGGTAGAAGATAAATGTAGATAGATTTGATATCATCTTATGGCAAAGCTTCTTAGAAGCTTCATAGATGCATATTTGATTTTTTACATATTTATAGTTGATTGATAGGTTAGAAAGTTGGTCAACAAGTTAGTCATGTATCATACATGCACATGGCTTGTGGTATAAGCTAACGATATGGTGCACATATAGAAAACTTGCCTTATAAGTTAAGACATGTGTTTTACAAATTAGACACATATTGGAGGTCCTATGGGACGTTGCTACATAGCTTCTAGTTGAATAGTATATATAGAAGGAAGAATGAAGCCTTCTTCACACTTGTCAATGCCATTCTAATCTTTAGTCTTGTTTCAAGTTTTTTAATCTTTTTGAATGACATAAAAGTATATTGATATTTTTTTCTTTGAAATTCATGTCCTTATAAGTTTGATAAGAGTGTTAACTTTTTGTCTTTGTTTTGTATTATGATTGAGCGAATTACCCTACTTCTATTGTTGTATTTTAAAGGTTGCAAACTATCTACCTTTAAACTCATTTTTAGATTTTTAATACTGTTTTATTTTTATTTTTAAAGAGATTAGATTATTTTTCTTTGTAAAAACTTTCATTTTATATTAGAAGTTGTGGATTACCTTCTTCTAATTTGACTTTTAGATTTTTTTTAAATTTTCTATAGAAGAAAAAATTATTGATGCTATTCTTGGCAAAAATAAAAATAAATTTCTAACTATTACAAATCTTTATGATCTTGTCAATATTTTGAAGATAGAATTTCATGTGTTTTTTATATTAATCTCAAAGGTAGTATTATGATATATATAGAAGAGATCAATAAAAAAGTTCAAAGTCTACACCAAAAAATTGAAAGAACTACACCAAAAAACTATAATTGAAAGAAACAAGTAGATTGAGCTTACAACTAAATCCAACAAGTCTTGCTACTCCAAGTATGAAAGATGTAAGGATACCTATGCTTAAGAAGTTTGATGGAATAAGATCAAAATTTTGAGGATTTTTACAACAAGTAAAGCTCTATCTAAGCTGGCATCATTTTCAATACCTTAATAGAATTACTCAAGTTGAATTCATAGATACACTTTTCTCTAAGAATTCTCTCTCTTGATTTGTACCTTTGATAGAAAAAAATTCACATCTTCTCTACAATGTGAATTAATTCTTAGAAGTGTTTACAACCACTTTTGAAAAAGTGATCCAAAAAAGATAGTAGATATCAAACTTGTATCTTTATGACATCATATTACATATATTCTTGCTTAAAAATGTACCAAGCATCTAACTATAGAAGGTAAATAGAAATACAAAAAAAATCCTATCAAGTCTAATAGATTCTTAAATAAACTTCAACTATTTTTTAATAATCATAACCAAACTTTAATCAATCTAAGTAAATTTATAAAAAGTTATAAAATAAATACATAGAAGTCATAAATTAATCTCAAAAAAATATAAAAACAAAATATTAAATAAATTAAAATAATATTTTTAAAATATTATAAATATTTTTTTTAAATAATAAAATATTCTTAAAATATAAAAATAAAAATTCTAAATAAATCTTAAATAAATTCTAATCAAACCTTAATTTAATCTTAATTGAAATTCTAATGAATTTTAAT